GGAAGGTGCACAAAACCCTGGGCCTCCAGGGGAGGGGCCTCAGCACAGCCACACTCCCATCCTCACCCTGCACTGGGAGCACCAGCCTCAGGGCTCTGCACTCTGGACAGGAGAAAGCTGCGCCTGCCGTAGAGGACAAGGCATTCCTGACAGAGCAGCCATGGGGACCCGGCCAGCCCGGGGCTGCCCACCCAGCGCATGCGGCGTCTCAGGAAACCTCTCCTAGGCCCTGCAGCCAGCTCAGCCAGTCGGCCTTGAGGCAGCGACCCCGCTGTTCTTAGCAAACATCAGGGAAAATTGAAATCTGCAGGCTGACACAGACTTTTGCTCTCTGCAAAGCAGGAAGATGCCCCCCAGGAGCCCGCTTCCTCATCCTCAGTCACCCACCCGCTCTCCGGTGCTAGGACAGCAGCCAGGAGTCAGGAGTCCTGCAGCCCCAGGCTGCGGAGCTGCACAGGCCAGACCTGCCGGTACCTCCTTCCTGCGCAGAGGACAGCGCCACGGACAGGGCGCGGAAGGAGAAACCAGCGCAGACGCTACACAAAGTCAGGAATGGAGCCAGATGTCATTGCTTCAGCCCTATAATCCCAGCCCTCTGGGAGGCTGAGGCAGGGAGATCACAAGCTCAAGCCCAGCAAGGGTTCCCTGCAAAGGCTCAATTCTGAGTGCTGCACGATGCGCGACAGGATGCGAATGCAAAGGAAACGAAAGCCGTGTGCCGCGGCCTGCACTGCCGTGAGGACAGAGGCCTCAGTGCCACGCTGGCCAAGCTGGGCTCCTGCTCTGAGGACGGGCCGCTCACAGCCCTTGCCAGAATACAGGAGAAGCAGCAGGAGCAGCACCTCGGAGGAGGCTTCCTCCGCCCTTGTGCACAGTGCTCCCTCGGCGCCTCTGTCCCGGCGACCAAGGCCACAGCTCTGCAACTCCACACTCTGGACTCTGAGAACAGTTTCCTTATCTCCGAGAAGCTGCTCGAAATTCAGACGAGCCCCGGGCTCAGTGTCTCCAGCACGGCCGCATCCACACCTGGTCATCACAAGCCGCGGATGGCTGTTTGGACGCCCAGGGTCCCCATGGCTCCAGGCCACACCCCGCGCTCTGCCCGTCCAGACTGGGCCACCTCTGCCTCTAGACTCTGAGTGCTGAGGGCCCGGGGCAGGGCCGCTCTCACCACCTCACTTGCCACCTCATCCTTTGAATGGCTGATGACCTCCTTCCCCAGTGCTGTGTCTGCTGGCTCGAGTGGGGTCGCCAGACGCCACCACATTTGTGAGGACCCTGCTCCCTGCTGACCACGGGCACCCGCACGGCCACTGTCTGCCCACTGCCCTGACCACCAGCTCCCTGCTGCCCATCTCTCCCAGCCCTGCCAAGGCTGCCTGTCCCACTTCAGTGAACCAGACCATGCCGGCCACATCCCAAGCATGACAAGAAGTGACAGCTGGCCCTGCAGCAGCCAGTGTCTTAGCGGAGCGAAACGTTAATTAGGACAGGACTCTTGGAATGCAGCAGTGAGCAGAGCTGGCAGTCTGGGTGGTGGGAAATGTGTAGGCATCACGCGAGGAGTTATGCAGGACAGATGCAAAATCAGATGCCAACATCAACACGTGGCTGCTGACTTTGCAAAGCCTGGAGTTTAGAAGTCTCCTTTTGTTGTTGTTTGTGCTTGTTTATTTTTATATATTTTAAGGCACCACCTCACACTCACGAGGAGGTAGCAGGAATGAGAAACAACCTTTGTTGTCTCAGTCCTCCAAGAGTGGGGCTGTTTGTTTTGCAGCGACACCAGTTGTTCCTGACCGGCGCATGCCTTGTCCCCCTGGATGTGTTCATCGGCAACTCCTCGCACTGCTGGACCCCAAGTTCTTGGAAAGAAGTCCCTAGGTCTCCGAGGGTGCTGGTTCTCCTTTTCCAGGCCAGTGCCCCAGGCACCCTGGTATTTCGTGAGGGTTCACCCTGAGTGAGTGCTGGCCGTTAACAGGGGTGACAGAGATGGTGGCAGTGACAGGAAGTCATTATCAGGTGGACCTCGGCTTTGAAGGGACAACTCTGGTCTCCGTGTTCTTGTTTTTAAAAATAACCACATGGAAACAGAGACAGAATCAAATTTGCTGTAATTTTTGAGCTCCTAAAATATGCACATTCTGGTGGTATTTCCTCTGCACCCTCAGAAGCCTGCTCTCATTGCCGTCCACACATAGATGGCTCTGTGGTCCTAGCCATCAGAGTGTCAGCTTGAGTGTTAGGTGGACGCCATCTCTGAGGTTGTGGACTAGAAGGCATCACGTGCTAAGACCTGCTCTTGCCCTGTTGTCATTGGGCCTAAGCATATTTCCCTTTCATCTTACTTTACAATGCCAGGCATTCCACTGGCTATTTCTCCTCTACTGGGAGGCTCCAAGACTGTACCCGCTCCAGTGTCCATGACTGCCCTGTGAGGAAACAAAGAAACCAAGACCATCCCTGAAGTTTGGCCTTGGTGACCTGGATGGCTTGGAACTGTCACAGATGCTGTTTCCCTGGAGACAAGGAAGGGTTTCCCACATCATGCTGCCCGTGTGTCCGTCGATGGGGTCAGGGCAGCATTTGCCATGGTTTCCTCTAAGAACAATCGGGTCTGGACCTAACTTCCAACAGGGTTTTCAAAATAGCACCATTCTGCTGGGGCTTCTTCAAGACCACCTCATGATGGTATCACACAGGATACTGAAGATGGGCCTTTTGGAGTGGGGAGAAGCAGCTGATCCTGCCCAGCACAGGCTCCTGCCCCTGAGGTCCCTGGCACTCCGTGCCATGTTCTTCCGGCTCCTCCTCCCACAGCTCCTCTTGCAGCCCAGACCCGGTGTTTCTCCTCCTGACCTTGGTTGCCCTCCTGTCCTTTCTCTGGTTACAGTGTAGATCTTCAGTATTGATCCATAGCCTTCTCAGTTTCTCCCTTCCTGAGTGCTTTAGTGAGAAGATAACAGGGCTATCACTGTCTTCTGTGGACGCTGGGGCTGTGGCGAGGAGGTGGGGCTGGTCCTTTCTGTGCTGCCTGGTTGTTGGAAGCTGAGTTATTATTCGCAGTTGTGCAAAGAGATCATATGAAGCCGGGGGAGGAAAGCACAAGTCCCCTTCCTCCCCAGCCCCAGGCCTTCAGACGCAAGGCTCCCACGGCAATACCCCCTGGCTGGCACAGCACTGGCACACCCGGACACCCTACTGTACACTGGGGAAGCCACCCCTCAGCCCCGCACCACCCTAGGAGGTCCACTCGGACAGAGCACCACGACCCAGATGAGCCCCTCACCGTCTGCTCCTCCCGCCTGGTCTCCGCCTGTAACCGCCAGGCCGGACTTCTGCACAGGAGGCCACACAGCCTGGTTAGCTCCAGTGCACTGGGCAGTGTGCAGAACTCAGTCCCAGGTGCATTCCGGGCCCCGCCCCGCCTGAGGACTTCCCACCTTTGCAGGCCCTGTTTGGGTGGAAAGTGCTTCCCTTGGTCCCCACATAACGTGTCCTCCGTCATTGCCCTGACAAAGCACAGACACTTAGTTTAAGAACAGAATTTCAGTTCCCTGTCATGTAAAGTGCAGAGGTGCAGGTTTGCGGTCTCCGAGGTCCCCTACGGCAGTTCCCTGACGCAGGACAAAGGCAGCGTCCTGAGCAAAACGGAGCAGAGGACGCCCAGGCGGCACGCTTCACTTCTGCTCCCCCGCCGGCTGGGGGCGTGGCACAGGGAGCTGCAGGGCGGCCAGCAAAGGAGTCTGGGGCTGCCAGCCCTGCTTCGGAAACACTGCGAGGAGGACACAGCCCAGGGAGGGCCCCCTGCCTCTGCTGCACGCTCCGTGGATTCAGGGCCGTGCTCAGTGCGTTCTCATCCGGAAGACCTCCCCTCCACCCTCTGAAGATGCTCTCCCGGTGACTCTGCTTCCTCTCGGCCTTGGTTTCACTTTTGGGTTTTTGTTGTTGCTGAATTTGTGGCTGTTTTGTGGGGGTTTTTGTTTTTGTTTTTGTTTTGTTTTTTGTGACAGGATCTCACTACGTAGCACAGGCTGTCCTTGAATTCAAGGTGATCCTTCTGCCTCAGCCTCCTGAGTGCTGGGAGGACAGGTGTGTGCAACCACGCCCAGCTCACCCTTGCTTTTAAATCCTTTCTTCGCCAGCACCATCAGTCACTGCATCTGTTTGGTCAGGGTTCCTTTCTCCAGAGTGTAAGAGGCTTTGCTTCCTGCTCCACCCTGAGCCTAGAGCAGTGCTTGGCACACAGTGGGCGTTTAAAACGCTTGTCATATAGATGGATAAATTCCTGTTGAATCATATTTGGGATACAATAAATATGCAATGGGGTGGGGGAGAAACAGGGTCTTAATATATTCTTGATTGTTGGAAGAACACCAGCGAAAGCTCTCTGTCTCTGTCACTTCCTTTCACTGGAAATAATTAGGAGAATGGAAACTTATGCATTGCAATATGGAGCAAAGAAGCACACATTGTTTTGAGGAAAATGTAAAGTCATCTTTGAGAGGAGGAGGTTGCAATCCGAATGTTCCAGCATCCCGGTAAAAACTGCGCACGTTCATCTAGGGGATGTAGGGGTTCAGGCTGATGCATTTCTGCAAGTACTGATGTCACTGGGGTTTTGTGTCCCCCAGCCCTAGGCATGCAAGGGGACCAGTCAGCCAGTACCATAAGCTGAAGCCAAAGCAGACCAGGGGAGAGGGCCGAGCTGGCCACAGCTCCAGGCGTCAGAGTGGTGACTGGCACGGTAGCATCTGGCCTTCCACGTAACCATCTGTGGCCTGCTTTCTCTGGGCAGACAGCCTGACCACGGGCCTGAGGCGGTAATGGTGGTCCTTTTAGAGCTTTCAGTGAGAAAAACGGCTGGCTACATGGGCCTGAGTCTTCTCAGAGGAAATAGCCACACCAGCATGGGGTGGGCGGCCCCGGGTGGGAGAAGGAGGGAAGGCTGCTGGGCGCTGGGGCTGGGGCTGGTGGTGACCTGGCCCCTTCATGCAGACCTCACAGAACGGCATCCTGAATTCTGAGCCTGGGTGCGACCCCTCGGGCACCGGCTGCATGGCCGCCTGTCGCTCCCCCTGTCTGCTCGTCCCCACCACAGCCTAGTCTGGGCCCTGCTTTGAGGACTCGGGTGACCCGAGACCTGCTCCAGGCATGACAACAGAGCTGCTGGAGAAGCCAGCCACAGGAGGGGCGGGCGGCCTCACCCTGCTCCCACACTTCAATGCGCACAGTGTCCAGACCGCAGGGAGGCATCCAGGGAGGATGCTCCGGGCCGTGGCGGGGGCTCATTGCGGGCTGAGTACTCAGGGATAAAGCTCTCACTTCTGTGCCAAAAGCTGCTGGGACTCGGATCTGTCAGCACAGCGCTCCAGAAATTCTGGGAGCCCCACACCTTCCTAAGTCTGAGCAGCGGCATGGCTGCCCGACATTACTCAGCCTCCTCTGCAAGCTCATGTCCACAGCATCTGCTGAAAGGGAGAAGGCCGCTACGAGACCCAGAGTGTGCGGCTTGCCCCAAATCAAGCGCGGCTCCTTCGACTCAGGCCTCTCCCTGCACCCCAGTCACAGGAGTTGACAGGCACTGCCTCCAAGTCACTGCTGGCCACCCTGCACGGCTGTCAGGGTCACTCTGGGCCACAGCCTCCAATGGCTACCTTGTGCTCGCTGTCCCTGCCGGGCTCCCCATCTCCGTGGCCCAGAGCTGGTGCCTCTGCTGGACTGGGCCGCGTCTGAGCTCCGTCACTAGGGGCACGTTTCTCCAGAGCACAGCATCTCCATCCCTCACCTGGCGTATGGCACTGTAAGGACGCTGGACAGGGCTCAGTGACCATTTTTATTTAACCTGTGAAGAAAAGGCTGGGAATCTGTAGCTAATTCTATACTAAAGTGTCCTTCTTTTCCAGTCACATGAAAATCTGGTCTTGGCTTCCTGATGCCACTGTGACAAATTCCACAACACTGTGACTTTGAAGGACAGAGGTTCGTTCTTTTACAGTTCCAGTGGCCAAAAACCTGCATCTAGTTCCACTGAGCTGAGAGGAAGGTTTCCCCAGCCCCTGGCCCTGCTGAGCCCCGGGAGACTCTGTTCCCTGCCCCTTCCGGTTTCCGTGGCTGTGGCACCCGTGGCTGGGGCCACATCACTCCTGCATCTGCCCCTGTGGTCACGATGCCTGAGCCCGTCTGAGTAGAGTTCCCCTCAGCCTGAGTCTCACTTCTTCAGGAGTCCCTGTGACTCCACCTAGGGCTCCCTGGACACCCCGGGGGAAACTTCCCGCCTCAGAGTCCCTAACGTAATCCCATCAGCAGGAAACTGTTTTCCATTTAAGTTTCCAGGGATGAGGAGCTGTTATCTCTGGAGACCATTAGGCTGCTGCAAATTATAACCTAAATAGTGTACTTAATATTTGGGTAAATAAATATCGTACCAACAGAAAAGACGACGTTGAAGTAGAAATGACAGAACGTAGTCCCCAGAGAGGTCACACCTAGTCCGCACACACACACACACACACACACACACACACACACACACACACGGCTCTGGGCATCAGCAGAAGCCTTTCCAATTTGTGTCTACAGACCAAGGTCTTATTTACAAATAACAACGCAGAATTAAAATGTATTTCAAGACACTCAAGTGAGACTACGAAAATGATAAAAGGAAAGGTTTGGCTCTATGTAAAGGAAGATTTGTTTCACAACTAAAGTGCTTTGAAATAATAAAAATAGCTAAGGTCAATGTGCATTAAAGATTTAACAGCCTGAAAGGTTGGACAAAACTAAATCTGCAAATGTCTCCATCAAGCTCTAACCTCACTCCTCTGCTCTCTTCCAAGTCCCACGAGGAATCATGAAACGACTGAGCTTCAATCACAACCCCCATGCTCACAAAGCTCCTGCTGGTCCACAGCCCAGGAGTGGTTGGAGTGACACCAACCACTGCAGACCAGTGAACCGACCCAGAGTGAACGGCTTGCTCAAGAAACTCCAAGAATAACTGTCCGACTAACGGGGTGTGGGCTGCATACTTCTTGGTTCGGTGTACTTGTACATATGCTAGCATTAAATTCAAGAGAAGAATAGTCATGTTTTTCATTGTTAATTAAGAAGCCTGTAAATCACCATCTGAGGGACCAGGAATTCTTGGCTGAGACGCCGTTTGTCCCGCCTGGGCCTGGCAGCCACTCGCCGGGCCCATCTGGCTCCTCGGTGCTTGTCTGGGTTACCTCTCGGCTCACCAAATGTGGGAGACTCCCGACACAGAAATGCTGGCAGCCAGACCAGCAATCTGGCTTTTATTTGGGTTCTGTAGCTTGGTCTAACGAGAGTATCTTGGAACCTTACTTTCCGTTAGTCAAACAGTATTACTGATCTTAAATGTGTGTAAGGTATTACCTATTGTTCCCCGGAGAACCTCAAAAGCGCCCAATGCCCATCCCCACCCATCCCCCGAAGTCAGCTGACAGCCTAAATGGCCGGACGCTGGAGCCAGGCTAAAAGCACTGTGGTCGCCACCACTGAGACACAACCTGGGAGAGAAGGGTCACCCAATCAGCAAACTGAGGCGCTGCGTGCAGTGCTCTCAGGTCAGGGTGGTGCCCCTTTTGAAGTGCACCTGAAACATCTTTTAAGAACAAGGGAGCCAGCAGATGAGGGTGAGCAGGAGGGGACGGAGGCCCCCGACCAAGCACAGAGCCCAGACAGCCTGGAAGGACGGCTGGGATCTGTCCCGGCAGGGCCGGGGTGCCTGAGCTGAGGCAGGCCTTGCGCACCTGCGCTGCAGTTCCTGTGTGGGCACGCCGGCTGGGAGGCCAGGTCGTCGGACCAGCCCTGGAGGCACAGCCCCACCAGTGTCTGAAACGACAAGCCCAGGGTGGGCATCAGCAACAACCACAGGGAGAAGAAGAAGCTGAAGAGAGAACCAAGGCCCTTCCGAGGGAGTGGGGGCTGTGCTCCCAACACCTTCGTTCCATACCCAGCACCCCATGTTTTGTCTTGGGCCCTCTCAGCGGTCCTTTCCCCTCCCGAGAGGAGGTGCACACCACCAGTGGCTGCAGAGTGACACTGAGGGGTCTGAAGGTCAGGACCACCATGTGCGTGTGTGTGTGTGTGTGTGTGTGTGTGTGTGTGTGTGTACTTGCATCTAATGTACACCTACCTCTATACTCTATCCCCTCAACATGTACAACGGCATCTACAGAGCAAACGGTGACACACGGGGTGCAGGGATTGAGGCAGAGAGGGCGGCAGGGTCAGCCCCATGTTTATGGGTACCACGAGCAGCACTGCCCAAAAGAAACAGATGGGAACCAGATATGTGTTTTCAAATTTTTTAACAGTCACATTAAAACAGCAAGGAGAAACAGGAAATGTTAATCGTAATAATGTATTGTAGTGACCACACGCACCCAACAACTTACCCTTTTGATGTGAGAGCTGTGTTAAATAAGTAGTGAGAGAGCCTCGCTCACACACAGCGTGCTCCAGGTCAGAGGTGCTCTGTGCCTGCGGCCGTCTCTGTGCCTGCTTGGCAGCCTCAGTGGCTGGAGAGATCTGCACCCCAGGCACCTTGCTTTGTGTCCTGAGGGGGGCAGGCTCAGAGAGGAAGGAGACAGAACGTGGGCAGGAAGGGAGCTGGGGAGGACAGCACCTCTGGGGACACTTTACGGGAAGAGGCCGGCACAGCAGGCCTCCTCACTCCTCCCCAGCTCTAGCCCAGCCCGCATGGCCAACGCACCTGAGGCCTGGCAGGGAGCATGCTTGGGACGACTGGACAAACACAGCGCTTCAGCTGGGAAAAGGTTTCAGTGAAGACACCGCACAAGCCCCTGGCAACAGACACACTCATCCGTCCTTCCTGCCACCTCCTGCCGCAGCTCTGAAGCGCTCTCTCCTGTGCGTCCTTCTGACTTGGGGGAGGAGCCAGGAGCCCCACAGCCGGATGTGTGTATGAGCTGCTTTGGGTTGGGTGGCTCTCGGCAGCAGCGTTCACGATTTTTATCACACCTCTTACAGACACATAAGAGGATTCCACAACTGCTCCAGGAAGTGGCAAGAGTGATGGGATTCGTGTGTTCAGGTCAGGGGGAATATTTTTCTTAATTGAGCTTATTGGTACATTTTAGGTATCATCATTGGGATCTTGTACCTTTACATGACAGGTCTTGGTTCTCATTTTTCCCCCTTGTCCCTGCCCTCCCTTCACCCTCTCCTGCCCTCCCCATTTACAAACATTTTATTTCCATTTTTTCATATTTTTTCTTTTCCCTTATTATCTTTTCCCTACCTTCCCACTTTCCCTACACCTTTAGCCCTATTCTTCCTATTTCACATGGTCAATTATCTCATTAGGATCTTATGTACTATTACAGTTTATTCAGAGCAGAGAAACTATTCAGTACTTATTACACTTAGGAGTATATCCTCAATATGTATCCATTTTCCTATGAATGAATCTAATTTCTCATTCTTTATGGCTGACTAGTATTCCATTTTATAGAAAAACCACATTTTCTATATCCAGTTTCCAACTGATGGGCAAAAGGGCTGCTTCCAAGTTTTAGCTATTACAAAGACTGCCACTATAATGTGGGTGTGCATATATCACTCTGGCATGATTTTAATTCTTTTGGAAAGATACCCAGCAGAGGGATGGCTGGGTCAAAAGGAACCTCTAGTCCCAGCTCTTTGAGGTGTCTCCATATTGATTTCCATAGTGGTTGCACCAGTCTGCACTCCCACCAACAACGGAGAAGGGTTCCTTTCTCCCCACAACAACACCAACATTTGTTATTGGTTGATTTCTTGACAGCAGCCATTCTTTGCAGGGTGAGTGGAATCTCGGTGTTATTTTCATCTGCATCTCTCAAATGACCAGTGATGTGGAACATTTTTTTATATATTTACTTGTTGCTTTTACTTCTTTGAGAAATTTCTGTTCATTTCAGATGCCCATTTTTGAATTGGGTCTTCATATTGGGGGGGCTGATTGTTTTGAGTTCTTTATATATTCTAGATAGTAGTCCTTTGTCTGAGGAGCAGCTGGTAAATTTTTTTCCCCACATTGTAGGTTGTCTCTTAGTTCTGTTGATGGTTTCTTTTGCAGTGCAGAAGCTTCTTTAAAAAATTAGATCACAGTTGTTGATTCTTTCTGCTAGCTCCCATGCTATTGAGGATTTGTTCATAAAATCTTTTCCTGTGCCAGTGTCTTCAAGAGTTCTGCCTAACTTATCTTCCAGCAAGTTCAGTGTTTCTGTTTCAATATTTAGATCTTTAATCCACTTGGATTTTGCTTTAGTGCATGGTGAAAGATAAGAGTCTAGTTTTAATCCTTGGCAAGTTGAGATCCAGTTTTTCCAACACCATTTATTAAAGAGGCCATCCTTCCTCCAGTGGGGATGGTCGGCTCCTTTGTCAAAGATGAGGTAGCTAAGTACATCTGGAGTTGTTTTTGTGTTTTCCAGTCTATTCCACTGATCCTCAGGGCTGTTTCTTTGCCAGTACCATGCTGTTTTTATCACAGTGGCTTTGCAGTATAGTTTCAAATTGGGAATTGTTATACCTGCTACCATGTGTCTGTTGCCTAGAATGGTTTTTGCTATTATAGATCTCTTCTGGTTCCAAATGAATTTTTAGATTCTTTTTTTCTAGTTCTGTGAAATATAGTGTTGGAATTTCAATTGGCATTGCATTGAATATGTATAGCAGTTCTGGTTCTATGGCCATTTTCACTATGTTGATTCTTCCTACCCAGGAGCAGGGGATATCTTTCCATTTTCTTATATCCTCTTCAATCTCTTTTTTCAGAGTGCTGTAGTTTTCAGAGTAGAAGTTTTTTGCTTCTTTTGTTAGATTGATTCCTAGATACTTCATTTTTTTGGATGCTATTGTGAAAGGAATTGTTGCCCTAATTTCTCTTTCAGTGAGTCTGTTATTTGTGTACAAGAAGACTATTGATTTTTGGGTGTTGACCTTGTATCCACCTACTCTGCTAAAAGTGTCAATTAAGTCTAGAAGTCTTTTAGTAGAGTTTTTTGGGTCTTCAATGTAGAGTATCATATCATCAACAAATAATGACAGTTTAATTTCTTCCTTTCCTATCTTTATTGCTTTAATTTCTTTCTCTTGTCTAATTGCTATGCCTAATGTTTCCAGAACTATATCGAAGAGGAGTGGTGATAGTGGGCATCCTTGTCTTGTTCCTGATTTTAATGTGAAGGTTTTCAGTTTTTGGCCATTTAATATGATGTTGGCTGTTGGTTTTTCATAGATAACCTTTATTAAGTTGAGCTATAAACCATCTATTTCAATTTTTTGCAGGGTTTTTATCATGAATGGGTGTTGGATTTTGTCAAATGCTTTTTCTGCATTTATTGAGAGGATCATATGGTTTTTGTCCTTGACTCTGTTAATATAGTGTATTACATTTATTGACTTACGTATACTGAACCATCCTTGCATCCCTGGAATAAATCCAACTTGGTCAGGATGTATGATCTTCTTAATAATCCTCTGTATTCTGTTTGCTAGTATCTTATTAAGGATTTTTGCATCTATATTCATTAAGGAGATTGGCCTGTAGTTCTCTCTTTTAGGTGCATCTTTCCCTGGTTTGGTAATCAAAGTGATATTTGCTTCTAGGAATGAGTTTAGGAGTATTGCTTCCCTTTCAATTTCATTAAAAAGTTTGTGTTTGAAGAGTAATGGCAGTAGTTCTTCTCTAAATGTCTTATAAAATTCAGCAGTAAATCCATCAGGACCTGGGCTTTTCTTTGTTGGTAAATTTTTAATTACATTTTCAATTTCACTGATTGTAATTGGGGTGTTTCAACTGTTTTTATCTTCTTTGTTCAACTTTGGTAATTCATAAGTATCTAGAAATCTGTCCATTTCTTCTGTTTTCCATTTTGTTAGAGTACAGGTTTTCAAAGTAGGTATTGAATATTCTCTGGATTTCTGTTGGATCTGTTGTGACTTCACCTTTTTCATTCCTAATTTCATGGATCTGAGCCTTTTCTTTCCTTTTTTTGGATAAGGTTAGCTAAGGGTTTATCAATT